TATATATATATATATTTTTGTTCCTTTTAACAATGCACAAACGGAATCTATTATCAGTGGCAAGTCTAGAATAATTGTTTTCAATTTCTTTCTTTTTTGTTTTTAATTTTCGCGAATATAATATATTATGTACGATTCCTCGTCTCGCAAGACAATTAAATGTTTGATTTTCAACATATTTGTAATTCTATGTCTTTTCTTTCTCTTTTTTTTCCCCTACATTAACGTTGTCCCATAAAATTCCTTTCTTTTTCTTACTCTTTTGGAACTACTAATTTTCAAATGCACGAAAAGAATCAGGAACATGGCTCGTATCTTTCCCTTTTTTTTTTTTTTCCTTTTCATTTTTCCTTTTCGTTTAAGCTTCGTGCCTGCCATAACGAGGAGTACTGTATTTTTTTTTTGTTCGTCCTTTTCTTTTTTTTTCTTTTTTATCATTTTCTGTTTGTTTAACTAGAGATATGATATGATAAGAGCAGGAAGTACTACCATGTGTCGCAGCATGCAACGTTTGTTTTCCCCATTCCCATTAAGCACAGGAATTTGTATTATCATTAACTTTTTCTAATAACCGCAACCTTTCGTTTTATTAACATGCCTAGTAGATTACCTAACAATTCTTAACGAAACCTTACAAACTTAGCGTGTCTACGAATAGGTCTCGAAGTAACGTGTGGAAGAAAGAATCTTATTAATTTCTCCTTCCTCTCCCCATGTCGTATCACTACCATTCTGACGTCACGATGCAACAGATAAAGATACACGTTGCTTCGAGCACGGATTGAAAAATCAGCGTGTAAAACAGTGCTCGTTAGAGACTAGAATAATTTGATTTGTAAACATACCTAAAATACTGACGAAGTCGAAGATGGTGCGACCGATTGTGACGGAAAGTTATTATTCTGCAACTTCCTTCCATCTCTCCTAGCTCTTCATATGTTCCTCCTCTTCTACTTCCAGTCGAAGCGATCCAACTCAGCTTTTCTTTTTCTATTCTTTTCACTCACTACGATCCACTTTGCTTGACTTCATTTTTTTTTTTTTTCTTCTTCGTGTTAATTTATCTTGGCAGTTTACCAAATGCAACTTCGCTAAATTACTATTATACTGTTTTTTGGTCGGAGACGTACGTTTACCTTATTTTTTTTTTTTTGTTTTTTTTTCTTCTTCTTCTTTCGAACGTTCTTACTTTCATAAAACAGGGACGCATTTATACTTATTTTTCCATTTTTTTTTTTTCTTTTTCTTTGATACAGACTATTAAAGCTGCATGCTGCACTTGTTTGTAATTCTATTGCTTGGATAGGCCCAAATCTCAAAGAACTCGATGCCATGGGCGTATTGGATATATTTTCTCTCGTGTTTTTTTTTTCGTT